TTTACGGCGCTTTTAAAAACTACTGGGAATTTTAAATTTTGAAACCCCTCCCTCCCCCCCAAAAAAAATTACCAACTAGATTCACTTTAATATCAGAAACGATACTGTTGAAGAAAATCTAATAATTTTTACTGTCCTAAAAGGTATGACAGACACAAAAAAAAACAAAAAACACACATTATTGTGTTGTAATTTTTTGTAATGTCGAATTCAAATATTGGTTTAGACTTTGTTTGTTCATGTGGTATAAAAAAGTTGAACTTAAATGAAACGAATTGAAAGCGACATATTCCGTCCTGTAAATCAGAAGAGAGATTAAAAATCTCAAAAACATGCAACAAGTATTTAATCAAATTTAAACGCGTAATCCATTCTAGGGAGTAAAAACTATGCGTTTTATTTTTCAGTTTAAATGGGTCTTGTGAATGTTGTAATGGGATTACGTAATATCATGTATTTGCTCATAAAAAAACCAGGAATGCGACCACACCCAAAAGTGTTTACGACTAGAATACCACTTTTAGTAGTGAGGACCATATCAAGGACGACTGTACACGCGCCCCTCACTTCAAAGGACGCCGCCACCATACATATAGGGGACAGCCTGAGTAGATGTATCCAGAGACGTGAACAACACACGACTCGCTTAGCCGCCAAGCCATCACACATAATTACACGGAGATTATCAATTCTGGAACGAACTACAATTCACTACAATCAACACGACTGTTCTGCTTATTTTGTCTGGTTTAATAAAATACATTTGATTATTATACTAATTTGACTATTATTATTTATCAAAGTACATCAGCTTTTGGATCCCTGAAGGGCTGGATGTAACAATGTATTGAAAATAAATGAACATTAATGTGTGTAATTTGTATTACCGACCGCGTTGTATTGGGGGCATCATAGTGACCGGATATGTACGTTTGTCATTTTACCTACGCGCATGAAAATGTTAGCACATTTTTGAAAAAAAAATATTGCCAGTGACTTCAATAATTACACTCAGTAGGATGTTTCGAATTAAATTTTGAAAGCAGATTTGAATTCTCCTCTAAATTTACTATGCTTTAACTGTCGTACATTTTTCATATTCTACATCAATAAGTATTTAAATTTGAATTTTGAATATTATGATCTATTTTTACTTTTTTTGTTCGTAAATTTCTAAGTAAAAAAAAAAGAAAAACCAGAAAAATGAAATTTGTAAAGCATAGATAATTTAGTGACGAATTCAAATCAAGGATTAATTAATTTAGTACAATTCTCCTACTATATTGTTATAATGAGATTTAAAAAATGTTAAAAATCCTTAGTCACAATTTTTTTATAAGCATTTAAAGTTCAAATCTTGTCAAAATACTGAAAAGTCACAATAATTTGCAAATTATTTTGAGTTGAGAATTCATAAAAATTTTTCTTTTTCTAAGATTTGAAAATATGTTACAAGGTTCTTCATAAGTTTGTCTACCTTTATCAAAAAAAAAAAAATGTCTACATGCAAATCAAATTAAATTTTTATGAGCGTTTGAAGTTCATATTTTTACAATATTGGATATTCACTCGATTTCTCATGTAGCGATTTCCTTATTTTGTTGTAATTATAAAACGAATAACTGTAGATACATTAAAATTGTACTGAATGTTTATATTTTCATTTTCTATACATTATACAATTTTGAAAATATTTTGATTCTTTTTGAACTGTTTACGTACATTGTCAGTTTTCAATTTTTTCAGTTTTTTTTTTCTATAAATATCAATAAAATTTTATTTGTTGAGTAAAACAGCTTGAAAGTTCAATACAAGGCTCCTGATATATTGTTACAATAACAGTTGAAAAATATTAAAAATACATGGGCACTTGGCACAATTTTTTTTTATAAACATTTAAAGTTCGAATTTTGACAAAATTTATCAAATTTAAAGTTTAATAATTATTTTGTAGTTAAAAATTTATAAAATGTTCAACTTTTATAGCTAAGGATTGAAAATTCAAAACAAGATTCCACGTAAATAGGTTATATATAAATTACTTTTTTCACAATAATATCATCAAATAGACTTAGTAACATCATATAGGCTGACTGACTGTTTTCGCTCAGAATAGTTTTTCTTATACAATGATATTATATCATTGAATTCAAATTTAACACCATCCATTACAGTGACCCACTTGTAACCTACTGTACAGCAGGGAGACATTAACTTACAAACCTTTTTATGCTTTATAATGATATGCCTATGTGAATGTATAAAGATTTCCACATTTAAAATTTTATCAAATGTAATCTGTTGTTTATGAATTTTGATATTGAAAACAATATTAAATTAACAAAACCTAACTTATTTGTCATTTAGGTCTAACCACTATCGGAGCATACTTTAAGCTGTATTTTGCTATAACACTATGTAAGTGTTATAATATCTTATTTTTATTTTAAAAGCCAGTTGGCGTTATTATTTAGAAGATTAGTAAATATACTAGAAATAGTCAAGAATTTTTCAATTTTATCTTATTAAATTACATTTTGCAGGTAATTTTAAAACTAATTGTTGATAAAAATTCATAACTTTTATTATTTATGTTATTCAAGATCCAAAAAAACGTAGAAAATAGGGAAATAGAAATTTCCAATACAAAATGGACCGAAGAAAAAACCAAATTGTTGATCTCTCTTTATAGGGATATGGAAGATCAATTTGATAAACCGCATCAGGTTAAATATATTATAAATACATATCTTCTAATTATAAGTATTTGTTAAAGGGTTACTATAAGCACTCACTATTTTAACATTTTTGATTATTTCATTATTGATACAACAATTTTCTCACTTTTGAAGCTCTTTAAATGTCAGCAAGTGTTGAAATTAGATATTCCTCATTTTTATAATTATTTATAATTTTTTAGTTTTTTTTTTTGATTAAAAACTCACTTAAATGAAAATAACACTCACTTTTTACTAGAATAATACTCATTTAATTGCAAATAATACTCACTATTCTCACTTTTATTTAAGAAAAAAATAGTAGCAACCCAATATTAGAATACTATAAATAATTTATTTAAATATCTTTATCATAAACTGAAGAATTTGATTTATTCTCTTTTACTTACTAGACAATTTGATTTTAATTAATTTAGGGAAAAAAAATCAAATTATGGTGTCTATTAGCAGATAAGATGGCAGTTCATAATTACATTGAAACAGGTAAACAATGTGATGCTAAATGGAGGACATTAAAAACTAGATACAAAGAAAACAAAAAAAAAGCACTACAGTCAGGGAAGGAAAAATTACTTGGCCCTACTTCAATTTAATGGACTCTTTTCTAAGTAAAAATATATAAATACCATAAACCAATTAATATTTGCTTCTTAGGATCATGTCTACCACATCTTAAAGATATGCCATAACTCGGAATTAATAACTGAAATATTAACTAAAAAAAGAGAAAACCGAATGTTATTATTGAATTTAATTATAATATATTTTAAAATTTGTAATGAGATACAAATTATATTAAACTTATATTTGAAAAATAGAAATCAATGCTAATTACAGAAATTCATATAAAATAGGTAATCACCTCAACAGTTTGCCTACTTAGACGAAAGTGGCTTTTAAAATCACAATCTCTTAACTTGGAGACAACAGATTCAACATATAATGCATTTTTTAATACTTTTCCAGTAAATGAGGTAGTATATTATAGAACTTCATCATCATCTAAGCTTTGCGTCTGAGTAAAAAAACTTAGTTTAGTCATTTTGGATTTTTGACCAATTAAATTAGACAATATTCCTAAAATAATCAACATTTAAGTATTAATTATAAGACATAGTGAATTTTAAAAATAAATATTCATAATCTTAAGTTATGGTACATTGTAAATGAACTATAACCCAATGTAGACAGCCATTCATCCAATATTAAAGTGTGTTAATTCAATAAATTGTATGGCCCTTATCAAGACATAATTACACAACACTCCATAAGCTTAAAAATTGTACACGAGGCCACCTAAATATTTATAGAGCTTATATAGAATGTTTATTTTGATCTGCAATGTACAATACAGTTCATATCTTTTTTTATGTTTATATTTTATATAATTTATTTACATTAACCATTTGGGGTACCAAACTACCAACTGGCGATGCACTATACATGAACTCTGTGTTCACCAATGTGTCAAACTAGCTATTACTGGAATAATACTTCCCAGTAAAGGTTTTTGAAATACAACATTGTTGATTCACTGTTGATCCAACACAGTGAGGTGACTCGTGGGTTAGACTGACCACCACTGCATAGATTAATAGTATTATAATACATACTAGGACCACACACAGGGTACGGGCACACACTAAGTTTGAATGTTGTGTAGGTACTAACCATTCCTTTTCCTTTTATTGCTGTCATAATTATGGTTAAATTGTTTTTTATTTAGCAGCAATTCAAAAGTAATCAATTCCATTATAAACTTTCAAATTTAAATCCAAAAAACAAGTAATTAAATTAATTTCAAAAATTAAAAATGATGTTATCAGTTGAATTATTGATAAAAACCAGAAGAGATAAGACCATAATCGGAACGTTTGAAACTAGGTACGTCTCTTTGAACATCCAAATTGTTATACGTTTCGACGTGTACCGTCTACGTGTTTTGTTTTGATACGTACAACTACGAAAAACCGACACGTAATATATCGTACCATATCGGTCTTCTTGAAAATCTTGATTATGGCTACACTGGAGTTAATTTTTATCACTTGTAGCGCTAAACTCATTTTCAACTTGTCATTATTATTTTCTTAGCCCTTAGGTGCATTCATGTATTCTCTCATTTGTTGCGCTGCACCTGTTTGACTACGATACTGTGACGTGAGTATTTAAGTGTTTTTTAGTTGTTTAATGTTTAGTCACGTACGGAACCATAGTGCATTATCTCCGTAATTGTAAATGTTGCAGGACTTACTGAACGCGATGGCTGGTGGATCACGAAGAAGTAACAACAATGCCAGGTTCTATAACGCAAATTCAAGTTAGTATATAGTACAAACCGAAGCTTTTATGGTGATCTAGTTTAGGGGGATGAGACGTTTTGGGGACTCAGAAAACGTGTACGACCTAATAAGAATTTGGTCAACTTATTATTTACCAAGTTATTTACTACTAACGTACTTCTGTGTTCATTCAATTACGATGTTGCCATCCCGCCACTCATTTGGTATCTAATACTATAGTATATTGCATTATTTTATTATGTACATTGTACCTTATTTATGAATTTTAATATGACGGGGCTCCAGTCCCACCAATTTTTACCTATCTTAAAAGAAAATTTGTTGTTTTATTTGTTTCTAAAAAAATAGAAGTATTCTTAGGTAGGACCCACCATTCAAATATGGCAATTATTTGAGTTATGCATGTTTACTTAATTTTTTTTTTCGGTTCTACCTACACGTTTCTTGTTGGCTATGATGGGAATAGTTGTCCGGATTCTTACTTGGGCTATTATAAATAAATCAAAACACATTAAAATATACATAGCGATGGAGGTACTGTGTGATTCACGCGACTGTTACTTTTTCGATTGGCTGTACTGATTTGGTATTTTATATTATTTTATATTGGGAACATGTATTTATTTTGTGTAAAGTTCACTTATTTGAACAATGGATTATGTATAATTTCAACCAAGCAAAAGCCATTTGATGAAAAGAAATATAGTAGGTAGTACTACTATCAAGGTGCAATTTTTTAATTTCTTGGTACCTAATCCCTATCAATTAAGAACTAGTTCAAGTTCAATATTAAAGTAATTTAATTAAGAATAAATTATTATATTGCTGCAATTGGTAGATACCAGACAGTAGTGAATAATAAACAATAACACATAATAATACAATTAATAAAATGGCTTACCTACATACATTTAGTATACTTAATCACAATACAGCCAAGAATAAAGTATTTACCTAGGTACTTTTCGCTAGTCATTTTTGTACAAATCTATAGTTGTGTAATACTGATTTTCTGACTGAAACAGTTTTTAAAAATTTAATCCTATCAATGTAACATCAAGCGGTGACTTAATGCCCTACGCTATTTTATATATTTGTCAGCTCTATTTCTAATAATGTTTCCAGAACGAAGATTTTGGTATATGCTGATAAAATGTTTTCCATAAAATATAGACTCCCTAAGACTGATCCTTGTTACAAGACGTGCCAAACCAATACAATGACTGGGTCGCTCGTCTTGGCTTATCCCTGAATCTCAGCAATGACGTGTCATTGTTTATATCAATGTGTACCTAATATAAAATATAAGTTATAGGTTAGTTATACATTTAATCTAATACATTTATTGTGTTAATCGTCAATGAACAAGCCATAAAAGCCCAAATTAATTTCCTGAAAATGTATATATTCATATGTAGTTCACACAAAATCAATGGGTTTATCTGATCATGTTCTTTCCTATCACTACTAATATTAGATTTCTAAATTTTAGGTAGGGAATCAGATTGTCATGGTTTTAATAAAAAGGTGACATTCAAAGCAAATAACCGTGGAGGTAATTATTATCGTAAAAGTTGGGAAAATAAAACTGATTTGGTCCGTTACCAACTAGATGGTGAATTTCCTAATCGAAATGGTCGAAAGTATGTATCTTATTTTTGTTAGTTGTTACTATTTCTAAAATCTATTAATATACCTATAAATATTAACATTTAATAGATCTCTTCCTGAAAGAAACCATAGACGTAATGGTAATAGTATTTACAGAAACTTATCACAGGCTTTAAAAGAAAGTAGTACTGGATGGTATTCAGTTTTTGTAAGTTCTAATTTTTAATATATCTAATAATTATCTATCGTATATTGTTTATATTGTATTTATTATGGTTTTTAAGGTGCCAAATGTTGAAGATTGTGACAAAGTCCTTAAAATAATACAAACTTATGTCAGACCTGTTGTATTTTATCCATACTATGTATGTTATTTCTATGCTTTTTGTATTATTTTAGAATGTATGAAAATAATCAATATTAATTTTACAGAAACAATATTGTGATAATAATTTAAGTTTTTTTGTCGATGATTTTAAAGTTGCTAAAACATTGCACAACACTAGTTATAAGATAACACAAATTAATGATCGAAAAGTAAGTTTAAAGGCACGTGATTGAGTTTTAAAATTGTATTTTAACATGAATATTTGTACTTAGTTACTTATAAAAGTGAAATCATATTTGCCTATGCGTGATCTTATATCATTCACACCAGTATCCAGTAAAGTGAAAGAGAAAATGATAGAAGCCATGGCGACTCGTTACGATCCTAATAACAAGAGTTTAGATTTGTCACAATTTCATGCTTGCACACGTATGTAAAGTTTATTTGATATTAAGAAGCTGGTGCGGTTTTTTATACAAAAACATGTCTTACAGGAAAAACTCTCTTTCATATAACAAAATATAATAAAACAGATTTTCTTATTTTTTTTTTTTATTTAAAAGAAAAGAACATTTTGCAGGTCAGATCAAAGCCCAATTTTCAAAATTATATTTTTAGAAGCCAAAGTAATAATTTGAATGATGCACAATATTTGTTCTTTTTCAACTACTATTTATAGTAAAATGAAAATTCGGCCTTTGATCCAACCTGAAAAATGTTAAATATAAAAAAATTAATGAAATCCGAGTATTCTACAGGACATGAGAGTTATTCCTGTCAAGTAATTTTCGTTGATATAACACACAGTATCAAACCCCATCCCTAAATGGATATCTGTAGATTAGTGAAAAAGTTTTATAATTAAGGAAGTCACTAAAATGTAAATTAGAATTTCATAGAATTTCAGAAAATTAAAAAAACTCGCACTAACAGCCTTAAGAATAATAGTTTTAAAAGAAATATGGAAAAAATGTTAATTTTTGTTTTTAGTGTTTACCAATAATCAACTATTCGTACCATTAAATCGACCAGCTGTTCTTTTAGCAGCACTCAACATGGTTGCTCAACATACCAAGCATGACTTGTATGGTTTAAGTCTTAAAAATAATAACATATATTTAGATGAAGGTCTTGTATGGATACGTAGATTGTTCCCTGAACTGAAAGTGTTGGATTTAGCTGGAAATAAAGTAATATGTTTTTTTTTTTTTTTATTGGACCAATATTCAAAAATAATATATGTTGCAGTTATCTGGTTTAAAAAAATTAAGGTGTCTCTCAGGTTACACTATACACGAGCTGAACTTGTCCAGAAATCCTCTGAGCAATACAGAGGACAAAAAGCGTTACAAACGGTATGCTAATTTTTATGCTTCAGATTTAACACCACTTACCATATATTCATACTATTTATGTTTTAGGAATGTACAAAAAATTTTTCCAATGCTAAACAAGTTGGTAAGTGTCATCAGTTTTATCTTAATTAATTTGTATGTCAAGTGTTAGTGAGGAACCACAAGACTAATAGAGTACTAGCTTAATAGTTTTATGACAATGTTTGGTGTATTGTACGGTAAGGTGTCTAAAGTAAGTACATCTTACCTGGCTTAAATTTCAAATCGATATTACATCATGAGTCTTGCAATGATAAACAAGTTTGAAAAATTGAATCCTTGAGACGGTAATTGATGGTTGTTTGATTAAACGTGGACCTTATACACAATTTTAACATAATTACAATATAATAATTGCACGTATTTTATTTATGTGTAACAGTAGTTTTATTGGAAAATAGTGAAAAACTTCAATGTTGTATATATGCTATAAAAATAATAATAAATATTATAACTTTATTGCATTAAAACAAATATATTTACCATATATTAAAACATATAATCCGAAAAAAACTTATGTTAAAATTAGGTATGAAAACAATATTTAGTATTTTAGTTTATTACCTTACCCAGCATATGCAAATGTAGTTCTTGAAAACAAGTAAAAAAAAATATATTTGATGAACCATCTTTTTAAGTTTTAAATAATTCTGTTAATATTTATTAAGTTAAGCTGATGTTTATGATGTAAGGCAATAATGGTGTAATGCTATTTAATTGTTTTCAGGATAACTCAGAACTGCTGCCTCTGTACAACAATGCATTTATTGGATCCAAGCTAAAAATGCCAATTAACTTGGGTAATAGTTATCCAATACCAGAAGGCCATAATCCTGAACAGCCAAATCCAATATTGACTTTAGTAGAATCATTTCTCAGTCTATATTATGTACTATACGATGACCAAGTGTCTAGACAAAAGTTAAAGGAAGCTTACCATGTAAATGCCACATTTACGTTATCCAGTTGTTTTTTATTTCAAAAGTAAGTGTATATATGAAAACCCATTGCTAAAAAGTCTGTTAACTAATTGAAATTGTATTTAATTTTAGAGTCTCACATAGTTTATCAAAGTATCTACCTGAAAGTAGAAATTTTTTGAAATCTGACCAAAACAGACACGGAAGATGTCAGTTTTTACATAAAGGCAAAGAAGATATTATAAACTTTTTAGACAAGTTACCTAATACCAAACATGATTTTGGTTCATTCATGGTTGATGTTCCATTGGCAACTGTTAGTATCCTGTTTTTTTAAATTATTTTTTTTCAATGTTTTATAAATTTTTTTTATTTCAGGCTGCAATGGTTCAGATTGTAATAAACGGTGTGTTTGCTGAAAATTTTAAAGAAACCAACTATAGAAACATATATCGATCATTCTGCAGAACATTTTGTATAGTGCCGGTCGGGAGTGGTTGGAATATAATTAGCGATATGTTATTTGTAACAATAGTCACTGATGAATTATTAATAGTAAGTGAATTTGTGCTTCATTTTTAAGTAAATGTACTTATTCAAACATTTTACATTTTAGGAGTCTTCAAAACGGTTCAATGTTTTCAAACAAAAACCAGAATCACCAAAAATAGATAATTTAAATAGCAGCAGTAACCAAAATGGAACAATATTTATGGAGGATACTGATGAAATGGCTGACATGGAATCACCATCTTCCTATCAACAGCCTTCCATACCCACCTGCCCACCACCACCACCACCACCACCACCACCACCACCACCACCATCTTATCAGCAATCTACATATTCATCTTATCAGCCTTCATTGATGGCGCCTATTAATCCACATCAATCATCACCTTATCAAGGGTGCATACAGATAATGGCACCTGCATCAACAGCAAATTCCCAACCAGACTCTCGACAGCAGTCAAATTCCTCATTTCCTATTTCCAACACAATATCAACTTCAACAACAGTCTTTCCTACACCTTCAACCTCTGTTTCCTTGCCTATAAATCAATTGTCGACTGAAGTGCCTGTAAATTTGATGATTGATACTAACGCAAATCCCGATAAGATGACTATGGTTAAGAATTTTTCTAATGAGTCTGGAATGCATATTGATTGGGCTGAAAAGTAAGTCATTATTTGATATTTACTATTTGATAACAATATAAAATATAAATAATATCAAACTTATCTTGAAAATTGTCTTAAAATTTTTTTTAGTCCTCTAGTTAGGTTTATTGGAGTTTTAATATTTTATTTATTAATTTATTTTTTTACAGGTGTTTAGAACAAAATGATTGGGATTATGCTAAAGCTGTTTCATGTTTTTCAGATCTAAAAGCTAATATTCCACCTATGGCATTCATACATTAACGATTATAATTTGTTATAAATGAATCTTACACAAAACTTAATTAGTTCTACTTTGACTTTCATGATATGGACATTTAGTATAAAATTGTATTGGTTTATTTTTCCAATGTTTATAATATTAATAAAAAAAAAAAAAAAAAAAAAAAAAAAAAAAATGTAAACCTAATATTGTGAAACAACCAAAACTATTTTTTTTCCAGAATATATTATTTAGTTTTTTTTAAAAAATGTTTTTAAGACTCTTTTTAAAAAAAAAAACAAAAATGATGAAGAAATCTGTGTTTCTGTTTCCTATGATGATAAAAAAAACCAAAAAATGAAAAACAAATAATTAATGATAGTTGAAAATTGTTTTTTGACCGATTATGTGGACAAATAACTTGATCTACAAACCGAGAAAGTCATTTTAATAAAATGGTTTTGATTGTTAAATTGTAAATAGTATTGTTTAAGGAAAAAACCAATTAATGAAGATTAAAAGATGCATCCTTATTTTTACTGTAATGCAAAAATAATTTAAGGAATATATTAAAGAAAGAAATGTAAATAATTGTACTTTGTAACACATACTACCTATCTTAAATTATATTTGCCTTATTTAATTTTTTATAAATAGTGATTGTTTGAAATGAATTTGAAATTATTGTAATTTAATTGTTTAAGACGCTATTGTGACCTTTTTCCAACATAAATGGTTGATTATGTAATGATTTATTTTAATCATTGATATCAATTAAATATAAATTAAAATATGACACTTGAAATAAATGTGCCATGTAAATAATTTCTTATTGTTCTCAGATATAATTATAAGTATTATAATAAAATATATTTTTACATTATTTTTACCGAGAAATATGTTTTTATAACTAAGTGCCTATCATATAAAAGGAAAACAAATATTAAACATAGTTATAATAGAGTACACAGCAATATTATTGTAAGTTGTTTACAATTTAGTATAAGTGATACATTTTTTTAAACGTATATATTATAAATTTGTAGATTTAATTTCACATTTTGTTATACTAAAAAACAATAATTTACATAGTATATCAAGTGTTTGGATTCTATAATTATTGTGTAAAATAAAATAATACTATATAGATACATCATATAAAATTAATATTGTCTTATGATTTGTGGCTATGATTCTAGAAATAAATATATTATATGATTTATAGTAAAAAAAAAACAAGTGTATGATTATTTCAATTAGAGTTTGCACTTTCAAACAATATGGTGTCAACAATAAATGTTGTCATCTATAAACTGAAAATAAAAGAAACAAACCAGAGAAATCGTTCTGCTGTACGCTCAATGATGTATAGATGGAGTTGAGTGTATGATGGTAATTTCATAAACTGAAACAAATTTTATAAGCTTCGTAAAATTAAAATATATATCACAAAATGGTCACTTTTTCATGAAGTGCTACTCCAATCTTACACTGTGTAATTTTTTACACAAGTTTGTCCTTCACCTTGTGTGCTTACTGAAATACAACAAGCATACAATTGCACATGTCAAGTTTGATTTTAACCATAATTATTTATTTAAAGTATTGATTAAGTATATTTATTTATAACTTCAACAATATTGGATCCATTGGATCAAATAAGGTCAATTTTTTGGGTGCTAGAATTTTATCAGCAGCAAAGACATGCAGGGGCTTCGCCCCCGCACCCCTTACCAAAATACTGATAGGCTACTAACAATACACAAGTAAATTCATTTAAAACTAGGAAGTAAATTAAAATTATAAATACCTCGACACATTTGTAATTCAACTTTTACTCAAATACAAATGGTACTTATAAATCACCCATTTGATACCATGAAATATTATGTTAGAATTCTATTATTCGCAATTTAAAGAAACCAAAATCTTGTCAACAATGATAAGCGTAAAAAGTTGAGGTATACTGAAGGGTCCATCGATAAGGGTGCCTGCGTTCGCCCAATAGAGCCACAGTGGCCCGGAACTTCACACTAACAATATTAAAACTGATTTAAATACAATGTACGAGTAATTTATATATTTATCATAATTTATAATATTATTTTGTTTGCTATTGTCCGGTGGTATATTTGTGGTGTATACAATGGGTATTAGGTTTTCAACGGCTATCAGGTCGACTATCAAGTCGACCGTTACTGTCTTTTGTTCCACGATTTTCCATTTCAACGAATAGACTATACACAGAACTACTCTAATTTCTACTCAACACTCGTCTGATGACTCTCTTTGCTTTACTAGAAAGTTATAAACAATTTTAATTAAATCAAATTAATCAACAAGCGTTAATTTAAGGGTGCTGAAGTGTATAGGAAAAAAGTTGCTCTTTGACCCAAAAGCCAGACATAACTGAAGGAATTTCGTCTGATTGATTTTAATCATGAAAACGGATTATGATTGACTTACAAGTTTACTAGGTATATTAGTAAGGTAAACTTGTATCGAAGGGATTTTCAATATCCGAATGTTGTTAGTGTCATGATGAATAATATAAATAAAAAATATCATACTTTTATTCATTGGTATCATAGCTGAAAAAAAAAGATATTCAAAATCGCCTCTATAATTATTAAAAACAACTTTTTTTAAGTGATTTCAACACACTAAATCTAAAATAAATAATTAGTAGTAAGTACTAGTAGTAGAGATTTTATTAATTGTTGTCATGCTATTTTGATCTTTTTTCTTATGGCCATTTGAAACGTTGAACATTATAATTTATTATAGGCAGATACCTAGCTTCTTGATAATATTAAACTGAATAACTCCTTCTGTAGATATAAGCAGTTAAACAGGAAATGAAAGATTGAAAACCATCATATGGATATAAATCAATACACAATTTAATGAATCGTTTTAGTAGTGTTACATACAGTAGTTTAGTAGTGATCTCACTATATTACTCAATATAATAACAATATAATTACTATACACTTATAGGAGAAAATAAATAATTTAATTTATCAAAAGATATATCATATTTCTTTTTATTTACACACATTATACTTTTCGAAATATATTATACACCTATATTTTAATTATTTAAAAAACATGCAAATTATACGTATTATGATATTTTATGTTAGAACCAAATTAGTTAATTTTATTGTGAATAATTAATTAATATATCCATAGAAGAAATATTTTAAAATAGGTACATAACATACCCCTGGGCCCTGGCACATTAAATGTTTACAATGATAAATGATAAAGTACCAATTGGTCTGAAAAAAAATAACAAGACAATATCTAAGTAGGTATAGAAAACATTGTATTATAATATTATATTGCAAAATATCTTTTAACATTATATTTTTGATATAAAATGTATAACATTTTGAAGACAGGTAAAGAGTATATATCACACATTTGTGTACATAGAATTTTCAAAAGTGTAAACTAAAATGCTTCATACATGTACATAACTTATGTACATATAACCAATCATAATAATATAAACTTGAGCAATACGTATAATACATAAAGTATTTCAGTAGTTTAGAAGTTCTTGGTCGTCAGATTTGTCGATGAACACTGCTGAAGTCCTAAAAATAATATCATCATACTCGGTTGGACCTTGGCTGCAAAACTTAGTATCAACTTAGATACTTCGTCATTTACTAAAGATAAAACAATAATTTTACATAATTAAATAGTAGTCATGGATTCTATTATTATTTTAGATTATTTTAAGCATTATAATTATAGGACATATCTATCTTAATTTTACAGTAACCCCCAATATATTTTTTTGTTCATATTTCACTCATAATTTTATTAATTATTTTAGCTTGTATTGTAAATCGTAGTTGACTGTGTGTGTGTGGAATCTGATTTTTTGTAAATTTATTATTGCTCTATAGGAAGGTTGTGGTTACACACCTAGGTATATTATAAATTTTATATCTTATAATATGTGTTTATTTTATCAATTCCTATACCTGATACAATTTTCAAAATATTTTGACTTGTTTTGAGTTGTTTAAGGACAATTTAAAATTTCGATTTTTTAATTTTTTGAAGTGAAACTTCTTATGTGAGGGGTATCGAAAAAAAAAAGAGTGACGCTCTGACCGTCACGGACGCTCGGGCGTCACGAAAATGGTACGATGTTTTGTTTATAAAGTTTTTGATATTTTCCGTTTCAATATTTTGTAATCTCTTTGGAAACATATCATATGATATTATAAACAAACCAGTATAAACGTATAAACAATATTCCGTAGTCAAGTTGATAAAAGCAAAAACGCATATATAATAAATATTCCAGAGTGCGCGATGAGTAAAAGAAATGTCGCGGAATATGAGAGTTCGGCCGGAATATTATAAAAATATATATAATATACTATTTTTAGGTGAGTCAAATTATGTATATTAAAAATATAACTCGATGAATTTAATCATATTATATGACTATACTATAAGTATTTAATAAATAATAATAATAATAATTAATATTTAGTTAATACTTGACACATTTACAATGACCAACGCACCTATATTTTTCAAATAGTATATAATACTCTGATGGTTCAATTGTATAATGATATGACATAATTTGATATTACTCAATATATATGTCTATGGTCTATCAAGTATATTTATTTATTTAATATCAAATGTAATAATTTATGAATAACAAATTGATATATATATATTATGTACCTACATAATATGACTAATGTATTTTATAGATGTATGTATATACATAATAGTAGGGTTATATTATATGTATGGACATGAATTAATACTGATATTAGTAAATATTTTGGTCCATTGGTCTAGTATAAATGAAGTACCTACACATAATATTATAAAGGTAGGTAGTAGGTATTACTTAATGTATTACAGTTTTTAGGTGAGAAAACAAAATATAACTTAATGTATTTAATTAAATTCTGGCAGGTAAATTGCATAATGGTATGACTAAACTATACTATACTAATTAAACTATTTAATAAATAATAATAATAAATATTTA